TGATGGATAAGACAAATTTTTCCCGGACGCGTGTCAATAGCGCGGGGGAGATGTGTAAGCCACACACTCACTCGATCTACCACGCAATCGGTCTGCATGCGCGCAATCGATTCGCCGCAACTATGAATTCAAACGATCAGGATCTGATCACAAAGGAGAAGTTATTCGGTCAGTGCTCTCTGACAGCACCAGTAGATTGACTGTGAATTATCATCGTCAACATTCAGGGGAATCATAGAAACAAAAAGCCTTAAAACGTAGATGAAAAAAACTGAGATGATCGACTCAGCTTATCTTGTAAGGCTACACACCCGAATCTTGCATGTCAGATGCCAATTTGCCGCCTACATACACACACACTTACTGTCAACTAAGCGCTGTCTCCCGTAGCCACCGAGCGAGAGAGGCACTTAAAATAACACATCTGGTTNGGACTGGTGTACGCATCTCAGATTCCTCCGCGTTCATAGCTTCACACCTCCATCCGAGAGAAATGCTCGCAACTAAAAAAAGGAGTTCTAAGCTATGCCAAAGCGAGGCGATGCCGATCTACTGGTGTCAACCGTAAAACCGAATGAAAGAAAGGAGAGAGAGGGAGAGAGAGAGAGAGAGAGAGAGAGAGAGAGAGTAAAGGAGAAATTCGTGGGGGCATATTCAGTCTTTAGTGAGTATAGCAGGCCATAATGTGGGGTGAAAGGCTGTCTGATTATTCATCGGCTTTGGACAAGCGTTCCGACCGTTTCCAGATAGATGAATATCTGATTTCGATACTGGTGTGAAGATAATATGTACACAGACGAAACAGCACCAGTTTAGTTCGAACGAAGAGCAGTTTGAGGCATACAATTGTGAGGTTTGACTCAGTTAATGATAGTGGGTGAATACAAGCAGTCGGTTGTTAGTCGCTGATGTGTGTGTATGTGAACGAACCTAGATTTGTCGCGGCAATCCGAGTGGGTGTACTTGGCGCGATAGGTGAGCGAGTGTAGCGTTCGGAATAGCGAAGACCGCGGAAACGACTAATGCCTATACCGGATCCGGACGGAACTGGAGCGTTAAGGGAATCGAACACGCGAAAAGAGAAACCTGTATTGGGATCGAGTGATTTCGATAGTGTGCGCAGACAGGTAGTCGCATGCAAGTGAACCGATGCCGGATAGCATCGGAAATCGAACGGAATTTTGACCGAAGAGAAAGACGAACAGAGCAAAATTCGACGAAGGAGTAACAAAAGCGAACCGACCCACACACGAGCAGCCATCGAATAACCAAAGAAACAATCGGGTACCGAAACCCCGGGGAACAATGGATACGCGCAAGTATCACACAGTGGCACAAAATATGCGCGTGTCAGTTGACCATGGATACACAGGCGCGCGCACACACACACATGCACATACGCACCGCCGCGCGTGTGTAAACATACACATATATGTATATATATATAGAAGATTAGCCGATTAACCCATGAGCATGAGCGTAGCAGATTAGGAAAGTAGGAACCAGTGGGGAGATGTAAACACAAAAGAAAATGGGAAGGAGGAAAAACAATAAATAAGATGAGAATAGGAAAAAAAATTGTACCGTGCTGATAAATTGATGCAACTGCGACCATCCCCTAACTTTACACCTCTGTGTATACGAATGGTGCTTGTCTGGATAAAACAGAAAGTTGCCGATGAAAGGGTACTTGAAAATAGCATTCACTATCGGCTGTGAAACAAGTAGTGACAAATAACCTGGACACCTTTTTCCGATCACCAATTCAGGTTAAACCGTACATGTGGTTTTCAAATCACGGAATATGCCCATTGATTAAGAACACATCATGCTGGCGAACAAATGTTTTCGGGGAATAATTCCTTTTCTTTGATCCTATTGAAATTTTTTCATACAAGAGATTGTAATGGCTGGTAAAGGAATTCACCGAAAATACATGTTCACCTACATTTTGTGTACTAAATCCACATGTTCTTTAAAGGACGTTGACATCTGCACAGTGGCCAGACATATACATACTGTTCAAATCTCATAAAGATGTCCGGACGATCAGCGTTTAACGCAAAGATTGCGCAGATGAGTGGGTGGGGTGTGTTAACCTACAAACCCCAAAATCCATTTCGGCCCTATGGCCTAATGGATAAGGCGTCTGACTTCGGATCAGAAGATGGCAGGTCTGAGTCATGCCAGAGTCGTATAGCTTATCATCCTACATTCGACTCCACGTAGAGTATGCCTACATGTGTGCCAATATGGGTTTCGTGATCTGTTCCTTTTTTAACGTAATTCAGATCGATTGAGGCCAAGTGTCGTCATTCCGGTTTTTCTTCTCCTCAAATGTAGTTAGTTGAATAAAGGAATGTGCTCGAAGAATGTCGACCACAGCTACACACAATTATTCCAATGGAAACAGCATAGGTGATTAACGGCCAAATTTATCTTCTCCCACCCAGCCCCCCTCCTTCTTTTCATTTACTTTACTATATTTGATCTACAAATGTGCGAAAAATTTTCCGGATGCCGGAAGCGAACGAGTCAATGGCTATCACATAGATGAATTTCAGAGGACGAAGAAAACACGATTCCATGCTCCGTTTAGCGGATCCTCATGATCGTAATTTAGAACGTGGATTTGTTCAGCCACCAGGCAGTTTTTGAAAACCAGTGTTGTTTCTTGTACCGATCCAATAGGTCAACTCGAATACATATAGCATTCCAGAATGATATAGCCATTCGNCCCCCCCCCCCCCCCCCCCAGATGCGGAACCGTCAACAGTACATCAAAATTCGAATCCAAAAATATCGTGGTACGAGTTCGTGTCTGTAATCGGTTGACCAGCCAACTCCCCCCTCCCGCCCAAATAAAGAAAAACCAACTGACCAGTGCAGTTTGTCAGTCATCACAAAGGATTCTATCCTCCTGATCAGTTCATGTGATATTTGGCAACTGTCATAAGTCAGCAACAGCAGCAGCTATCGAAAAACCACGAATTTGTCGGCCGTGAGTAATATGTAGCACTACAGAATGACACCTATCTCTGCTTGCTTAGCGTTTCTTTTACTTTTCAATGAGAAACGAAATGCTGAGAATAAAGCCTGTTGAAGTTGTTTGTCAAGATCTTACGAGACAGTTATCCCTAACTGTAGTTTTGAAGGAATATGTCCCTTTTATCATTTGTTTATCTCCCCATGTATCCTGCAGTATATGACGAAAGCCTCTGTTGAGGAAGCCCTACTCACTGTCTACTGGTGGCGGTTTATTCCCACCAAAGTGAGAGCACGAAAAGCCGATATCCGGTGCTATAACAGGACTGGTGAACCACTGATAGTTCACCTAGGAGAGTTAGCTCAAAACCCTGATTCCAAAACAACCAAGAAGAGGTGTACGAACCACACCCACACCTTTCCAGTTGTGGTAGTGGTCACCGGATCAATTGGGCATGGAGGTGTATTGGGCACCTTGGACGTTTGACCCTGTCCGAATGGCGTATGATCCGATGAACTGCACACCGGCTCCCGATGGACTGCGGTTTTCACACACTGCCCCGCTGCCTGGCGGGTTAGGCTTTGGCTAGCCGAAGGCTCCGATTGTGGATTCGTCAGGGATTTCGGGGCACCACCTTCCCTCTCATCCCTCTGCCCAATCGAAATTCAACCGGAGACTGCGCTGGACGCTAACCATCCGGACGTCATCATGAGATTTGAATAAAATGTGGATCTGGCCACTCGGTGGAGGTCAACGTCCCTTAAGAACATAAGGATTTGACAGCGGTTCAATCGCACTTGATGCTAGGACAACTTAAAATGACGCTATCGGGACAGATTCGTTTTGCAAAAGGTATAGATAGGATGAAAAAGGCATGGTAAAAGACAGGTCGGTTGTAGCCAGACTGAACAGAACAAGCGACGTAAGTTAATCGAGAAAAATGACCAATTTAGGCAACCTATGACTGAAATTTTACATTTGAAATATGAAACATGCATATATATATACACATTTGAATAAATACAAAGGAAAAATCGAGTAAACTTTGAGGTCTCACAATGTTACTCCTCCCCATGATCATGGTGAATTCGATGCGATGATTAACCAATGAAGATGATCGACGAATTGAGTCTGCGGATCTGGGATTTGGAGTGGGGATCAAGAGCAGACTAACTTTATCACTATCATCACACTCAGGCGTGTGGTATGTCGAACTGCCCAGGAGATCTTACGGATTGTTAATCTCGTGCTCACTACCTACCAAAGATACTCAGAAATTGAAACAGTTTGGATTGAAGTTGGGAACCAAAAAAAGCTTCAGAACTATAATACGACGATATCCAATTAGAGTGATCAAGTGGTTTAACTTTCTGTGAATAGCATGTTCAGAGCTTCAAGGCCTGAGATTGGAACTCATCAACCGATACCCAATTTGGTTGTGTCAACCGGCTCAACATCGAACCTATCCTGTTTGGGCCCGACTGTCGTTTTCCGTAATTCAGGTGTAGGTTTATGTAACTAAGGTATAAACCATACCTCTTCCATAGTCTATCAAACAACGCCTGGCATGAATAATTCGACAAACCGCGGGGCTCTAAATTACATAAAGAAAGTGTTATAGCGCTTCCAAAGGGTGGCCAAGTGGTTAGGTTACCAAATTGAGCCTCGGAAGTCTCGAGTTCGAATCGCTTCACCACTACCCGTCTTGCCCATTCCTGTATTTTCCCAGGCAGCCTTTGTATGGCCCTGGCCCCCGTTCTGAAAGTTGACTGAACATTTGTATATTCAATAAATAAGAAAGGAAGTAAAAAGACAATTACATTTACATTAAAAGCTCTAAATCAGATTAGGCCGAATGGAGAAGAAATCTGTCGAATAGTTCCCCGCGGAGAACTCCTTCCAATGGTTTTCATAGTATATGTTTTCCTCGGCAGAGTATCATGAAGTTGTGACGTTTCTCTTCTCCGTTTCAACAAGTGTGGATAAAAANCTCCCCCCCCCTCAGGGTGTGCATAGAGATAAGAATGGAACTCACGTGAACTGTTTTCCGATCCACTGAACTCGTCCCCGACCGAGAGATTTCGGAATCGTTCTGCTTCAACTCGGGACCCGTCACCCGATGCTCGTGGAACTGGAGAGGATTCGGCCAGCAAAGAGCCGGCTGCGGAATATTGAACGGATCCACGATTCAAGCTCAAATCGGACGGAGTGTCTGACATGCTTGCCGGGACCACAGCATGGTTAGCTGGTTAAGTGTGGGAGAGGGGAAAGACCGCAATCAGGATTCCGGGTAGCAAATAGAGAAGAACAAGAGAAAACAAATGTAAATAGAGAGAGAAAAAGAAATGTGCGCATATCGTTGGCATCCGATAGATGACAGACAATGAGGTGCACAAACCGAAATGCACAGTCCGGTATTCAAGAAATGATGAAGGAAGGATAGATGAATTGCCATGAATGACTACTCTTCATGTACATGTGCATGACCCGGTTGCCTCCGAATGGAACCAAACAGAGAAAGAAAAAACACCTTTTGTTAGGGTTTTTGAAAGAGACCCCCAAAATTGCAGTTGCGATTGGGGAGGAGGATTTAGGCTTCGTGAATCTAGATACCCGTCTCTGTTTAGATGGCACGACTTGGCTTGTCCCCGAAGACGAGACATTTCATGCCCTCATCCTCACCAGTGGGTAGTCCCATATTCAGTCAACTATTTGTGTTAACTAATCTGAACACCAATAGGCAATGCCCGACGACTGCTAAAAAACTCATAGCAAATACAATTGTACGGAGAAGGGGGGAGGAGGAACAGAAACGCGATTTGATCACGGTATTACTGGTCGTTGATCGAGGCTCTCCAAACAACTTACTGTGGTGCATACTGATTGAAAACTACCGAAAGAAAATTCACTCAACCACTCACGCAACCTGTGGTTTGGATCATCAACCACCCATATTCGCCTTTATCCACTAGCCCAATAAATCCGTCAAACAACCGTTCACGTATTCGTTGAATCGGGGTAGAACATTACTTTCGTCTACTGTAGCACTTCCGTGTGCTCTCCGTAATCTTGGTACCTCACTATATGTATGCTATATGGATCGAGTACAAGTGAGAAACCGAAAATCCGTTTATTTATATTCACAAAATGCACATCCCAAAACCCATTTAACAAACCACCCGGGGAACGAGCAGAGGTAAACAACGGAAGCACGCTCGACTGTACATAGACATGCGAGCGGAATGATCAACTTCCGGACTCTGAGTTAGCATTGTCTGGTGAAAGGATAGAATGAGCATGATTGAACTCTCAGTGAGGTGTATAGTGAATGAACTATGAGGTCAGTCGTGGTTAGAATAGGTGAGCGTCACTCATGTATAGCTGAGCAAAAACAAGTTATCATGACAGCAGGTTTAGAATGATGATTTAGACAGATGCGTATATAGTATTTGACGTGTTTGGCATAGTATTAGTGTTGGTATTATTATCTTTCACGTGAAAAGAGCCAAGACAACATTGTGCTACACTGATGATGGAGCGTACGTACCAGTTCGAACGTACAAACGTCACCATGGCCGCCACATAACTTTAACCACATATAGCCAGCTGTTGTCCGACCTGGTGCCACACCGAGGACACACCTGGGTCACACACCGCTCCACTTAATCGCGTACGGAAATACCAGTAAAAGTTCTACTGTATAGCAAATTGTTCACGTCTGAATGTGTTCTCAACTCATTTGTGTTGTCATGCGGTGTTGAAACCCATTTGGGTGAACTTTCTGGCGTTAGTGAGCCTCGTGAAACTACGTGTGCCATGTTTGAAAAGCCAGATCCAGTGCTATGAGTTAAATCGCCGTAAGAATACCTAGTGATACTAAATAATGGAGACTATCCGAGTTTATTTCAGAACAGAAGATCGATTCAATTTCCCGTACCTTGGCAGACAACAAACAGTGAGTGATTGGGTATTTGGTTTTGTTATGACTCATCGACAGAGTGCCCCAACATTTCTGTGTCTCTGTTCATCATCATCATCGTACAGCGAAATACAGGGAAGCTAACTTCACAGATCGATGCCAAACGCGCAATGCATTGGAGTTTGATGGACGAGTACCGCAAGGGTGTCCAGCCAGTAAGCAGGAGAACGATTAGGGTTCTCAACCAAAGCCTTTGGTTCTGACAAGAACTCAACCGCAAGGCAGAGGGTGATGCGAAGTGGAGGCTCATTTACTTGAATCAATTACTCCTCAACCACTTTTTACCGACTGAAACGCAAATTTTAGTCTAACCCCGCAAACTGGAGGACCAGGAAACTGGACTTCGACCGACCTCTACCCTTCGATCTTCCAGGCATGATTAGATCTTCGGCCTGACAAAAGCAATCCTGTGTAGCTTGTTGGGTCAGAGAGGTACACAAGCCATCACACGACGTCAAGGTGTAGCCTCGTTGTGATTTCTGTGTTGATAGGT